AATGGGAAAAAAAAGAGTGACACCTGCAAATCCAGCATCAAATCTCCATGATATCCAGTCATCTTGATTTTATTCCTGTTCAATGACAGTTATCAAAGCTCTTTAAAGCTGATGGGACACTACTATGTGCAATACAGTGTGAGGATTTTAGACAGCACACACAATACACAATATAACAAGTTTCAGATATAAAAAAATTCAGGATTCAGGAACAATGTTATTTCTACGAATTTGGAACTTTAAAGGTGAAGTCTTTGGCTGGATTCATATTTACATTATTACATTTGCATTATTATTTTCATTTTAATGCTCACGTGTGATGTCATTTCAAATCAGTGTGATTTTAGTGAGTGCTGCTCTCTTACAAAAACGGTCAGACAGGTAACCAAGTTCTTTATTTCCACACGCTTTTAAGCTTAAATATTATCATCTTTTCTATTGTCATTTAAACTCTGAATGTCATGAATCTTAGTCCTACCTCTCTTCTAATATGTGGTCCTGCAGACTCTCGCCAACACACCTTTCCGCTTTAGTTTGACGTTTTCCTTTAACGCCAGACTAGATGACATCAAAAGTAGACTACAAAACAGTGAGCACATAGGGTTTTGGATTGAAGCTGATCCAAGAACAGAATGTTTTGTTGATTAATTTTCTTTAGACGTCAGAGTCTTGAAAAGGTCATGGTAATTGAAAAGCAAATTAACTCAAGTTTAGTTTTTCTTTATTTCCTGGCCCTCTCTAATTTGGTTAAAATTGATGATGTCACTATTTTGACAACAGCAGCAGTTTGATCTTTCAAGGTCATTCTGCCAAGTCTTGCTTTAAAGAGATTTTGTACTCTGCGAGACGTACTTGAATAGAAAACCCTTTTCCTTTAGGCCTCTAGGTTGATAGATTGAATTAGATTTTGAAGTAGCTGGGTGAAGAAATCAGTTTATTTTGGCCAGACTGTCTAGCAAACCCACATTTTATGCTTTGACAGAATCTTACTATCTTACTTATCCACTAGTGAGCTAGTTAGCTGTAAACAGAACAGTTCAAATTGAGTACAGAAAGAAGTGTGGAAAAAGACAACGGTGCTTTCTGATGAGACAAAAAAAAAAGTCCTTCCACCACAGCAATCATCATCATTGACACAGGAATGCTATTTGCTAATCATATTATTTTTTGTGTCCTGTGCAGTCTCATGGCTTAACCTTAGCTTAGCTTAGTTTATCTGTTGCAGCACGTTTAACTTTGTGTGTAACTCTGTCCTTTCATTATTTGAATACTGTTGTGTGCTGTCTGTTGTGTTCTCCACACTGATTTTCAATAAAAAAATTTTTAAAAAGACTTACTTTCGAGGTTGTTCTTTTCCATCACCTCCCATCAATAACTGAAAGAATGAACAGGAATATTTTTCTTAGGTTCTGGCTCTCATCTCATTTGTGAAGGTGCGGCAGGGTAAGGTCAAGGCAGAAGTTGAGGTGACTTCTTGGCCCTCAGATAGCAGAGCTTTTGATCTACCCTTTTCAGGATGGCTGAGTCATATTTGAGGAAGTTTTGTCTTATACACATACAGAAGGAGACGAGGGCATGCTAAAGTCAAAATCCAAACAATTACCTCATATAAGGGAGGAGATGTTGGGTCAAGGGTCTATGACATTAATGCAATTCCAAAGATGTAATTCAATTTAAAATTATTTCTAATATAAAAAAAAAAATACAAATATGTTTATACCCATATCCTTGTTATGTAAGTGAAATTAAACCAAAGGATAGCTCAGAAGGCTGAATTCAGCAGGTGAATTTCATGATCAAAAAGAAATCCATTAAATGAAGTCCTGAAAAACGGTTCCATGTGTGAAAGACTAAACCAAAGTCCAAATGCTTGCACCGCAATGCTGTGAGAAAACATAAACAAATAAATCATCAGCTACTCTTTTTTGTTCATCTGCTTGAAAATATAAATCGTGTTCCAATACATCTTTTAAAAACAGCAAAGATTTTTGGAGAATATATATTTTTTCAGCTGTAGTGAAGAACAGCTCCACAGTGGCAACTGGACTTTAGCATGACACACTGGGACGGTCAGAATGCTTGAGATATAAAATACAGATACAAAAATGTCAAAACCGGTTTAGGGTGTTAAACTGGTTCTCATTTGAATGCTTTTTCATTCATGAATATATATGTGCTCTGGAAATATTCATTATACCAGATTACTTTTTCAAAGAGAGTTCACTGAACTGTAACAACACCACTATAGTTTAAATTTTAAATACTTATATGTATGTGTGTTAGTGTTAGTCAATGCACAAACGGTGTCGTTCTAAGTTAAACGAAGTATTATGAACAGTTTGTATCTCGATACTCAAAAAGCACTATTCCCCCTATTTTCCATACAGTGAGTGTTTCACCACCCAATACAACTCCCATTAACCCGAGGCCTCTTTGTTCATAAAGTCAGTATCTGTCCAGCTTTCCACATTCACTGCCAAAGAACAAAGGGCTGTTCCATTACTGGCCTGGGAAAGTGAAAAATTATAGGCATCGGGGGTAAAAAAAAAAATGTTGTGAGAGCTTGTTTATCTCTTCAAAGTACAAT